AGTGGAGTCGGGGTGATCTGTGGGGTTCCACCATTGACGGTGGCTGTGATACCATCGCCACCGGGGACTACAGAGACGGACGCGAGCACCTCCTGGTCCTCGAGGGATGCGTGTGGCTTCTTAGCTGCTCGCGGGGCGGGTCCTTCCTATCGTTGATTTTCCGTGAGGGAGGCACCCCGGCTGGATGGGATGCGCCCCCAGATCCCTGACCGTCCCGTGTTCCGGTCCCCCCCGCCCCCAGGTCATGAAACGGGTGCGCACCGAGCAGATTCAGATGGCCGTGTCCTGCTACCTCAAACGCCGGCAGTACGTGGACACCGACGGTCCCCTGAAGCAAGGCCTGCGCCTGTCCCAGACCCCCGAGGAGATGGCAGCCAACCTCACAGGTGGGTGCGGGCCGCTGCGGGCGGGCGAGCTGGAGAGGGGGACGCATGGCAAGGTCCCTTCCGCTCTGAAGCCGATGAACATAGATGTTTTTTTAAATACCACCATTGCCCGGCCAGCGTGGCTCAGGGGTTTGAGCATCGACCTATGAACGAGAAGGTCACATAGTTCGATTCCCAGTCAGGGCACATGCCCGGGTTGCGGGCTCCATCCCCAGTAGGAGGCAGCCGATCCATGATTCTCTCTCCTCATTGATGTTTCTATCTCTCCCCTCCCCTTCCTCTCTGAAGTCAATAAAAATATATTTTTTAAAAATATCACCGTTGATAGCCTTGAAACAAGGAGAGAATGCTGGTTTTAAAAGGAAAGGACATTCTCAGGACACACATGAAAATTATACATTTAAATACGTAGTAAAAATGTGAAGTTGAGGACACCCCCAGAAAACAGAGCAGAAAGACCAGTGGGATATGGGGGGTGAGGGGGAGATGAAAGATCAGTTCAGGAATCTGCCCTTGAAGCAGTAGGAGAGCCAGAGAGAAACCAGGGGAATCAGCAAAATGATTCCAGCCCGGCCGACGGGCCTTAGCGATTGAGGATTGGCCCATGAACCAGGAGGTCGCGGTTCGATTCCCAGTCAGGGCACAGGCCCGGGCTGTGGGCTCGATGATCCCCAGTCAGAGTTGTGCAGGAGGCAGCCCATCAGCGATTCTCTCTCATCGTTGATGTTTCTATTTCTCTCCCTCTCCCTCCCCCCTCTCTGAAATCAATAGAGATTATGTTTTTAAAAGAAGAAGAATAATTCTTTTTCCGTCCCCATGTGTGTGTCTTCTCTGCCTTAGTGCAAACAGAGTCTGGCTGTGCCAACATCGTGTCCGCCGCCCCGTGCCAGGCGGAGCCCCAGCAGTATGAGGTGCAGTTCGGGCGGCTGCGGAACTTCCTCACCGGTGAGTACCCGGCACCCCGAGCCTTGTCCGATGAAGAACGAGTCGTGGGGATTTTGCCCGGAGCCTGTTACGTTCCAGGCACGGTGCTGGGTTAGAGAATCAACGGTCATTTACCGCCCTGACCGGTGTGGCTCAGTGGATAGAGCGTCAGCCTGCGGACTCAAGGGTCCCAGGTTCGATTCCGGTCACGGGCATGTACCTGGGTTGCGGGCACATCCCCAGTAGGGAGTGTGCAGAAGGCAGCTGATCGATGTTTCTCTCTCATCGATGTTTCTAACTCTCTATCCCTCTCCCTTCCTCTCTGTAATAAATTAATAAAACATATTTAAATTTTAAAAAAAATATTAAAAAGATAAAAGATAGTTTATCACTTGCCTCAATCGTACGGTTTTTGGAATTTCTGAGAGAGTTGAAGGACAAGATTAAAGTTTGCAAGGGCGAGGGCTCTGGGTGTATTTTTATGGTATTGTTTATATATTTTTTTAAATTTTTTTTTATTGATTTCAGAAAGGAAGGAAGAGGGGAGAGATAGAAACATCCATGATGAGAGAGAACCATGGATCGGCTGCCTATTGCACGCCCCACACTGGGGATCGAGCCCGCCACCCGGGCCTGTGCCCTTGACCGGAAATCGAACCGTGACCTCCTGGTTCACAGGTCGACGCTCAACTACTGAGCCACACCAGCCGGGCTTTGTTGGGCTCATATTTCGGTCACCAGCCTCAGAAACCAGGGTCCTGACACCGTGTGGTGTAGTGAGGCGGTGGGAGGGTGGGGGATCCCCAGGAGGGCCCCCCCCCACGCTCTGAGATGATGCTGACTGTCCAGCGCTCCCCTCTTCTCGTAGATTCCGATTCCCAGCACAGCCAGGAAGTGATGCCTCTCCTGTACCCCCTCTTCGTCTACCTCCACCTCCACCTGGTCCAGAACAGCCCCAAGAGCACCGCGGAGAGCTTCTACAGCCGCTTCCACGGCATGTTCCTGCACAACGCCGGCCAGCGGGACGTGGTCGAGCAGCTGCAGGCCACGCAGACCCTGCAGGACATCCTGTCCAACCTCAAGCTCCGCGCCTTCCTGGACAGCAAGTACGTGGTCCGCCTGCAGGAGGACAGCTACCACTACCTGATCCGCTACCTCCAGAGCGACAACAACGCCGCCCTGTGCCGGGTCCTCACCCTGCACATCCACCTGGACGTGCAGCCCGCCAAGAGGACCGACTACCAGCTCT